ATTTGGTGATAGAAATTTTTTTGATCATTGTTTTTTTTCTCCTGTTTCAAGGGCGCTATTCATTGTGAGGATCCCAGTGCTGAGGGGGTTCGGACTTGCTCGTCGTTGGGAAATGGGAGTCGGGTTTGCCCGGGAGAGAAATTGACGGCGTTGCCAGAATTTTTTCTCCGCTTGTCAACTTTGCTTTTTCCGTTTCACTAGCGCTGTACACCCCCCCCCCCACTCGACGGCAAAGTCTTCATGAAAAACTAGGAAATTCTTGGAAATTCAGGAACAAGCGGTAGGAAACTTCGGAAAGTTGACAAGATGATCGGTAGAATGGAGATTGGGGGGTCGTATGTTCCGAAAATTCTCCCCAGTGGCAGGGCGTGTCCTATGTGTACAACCAACCAATTTGTGTGGTGAGAGAGGGAATTCCTTATACTTGTTGGGGCCCTCCCGCTCTGTCCTAACTGAATGGATTTGATCCCCTCAGACGAAGAAGGATCCCGCCAACTGAGTCTCCTACTTTTGACTTTTTGCTCGGAAACAAGGCAGCATTAATTATGAAAGTGAAAACTAAGTCTGGACGATCCTGTGAGCTTAGGCGATGTACAACAGCGGCACAGATATTCTTCGCGAGAAGATTTAAAGGACTCGTCGTGCAAAACTAGAATTACTTTAACGAAGGAGTGGCATTGACTGAGCCTAAAAGTAGAAGGAGCTTCAGGGTTTGTCAATTTAAACATGGTAATCCTGTACTACTTGCACCAATACCAGTTCTGCACAATGATACCTTTGAATGCCCTCTCAGCTTGATTATGCCAAAATGCTCAGTGAGCAGCTCTTTTCACACTTCACGAAGAAAGAAAGCCGACGGAAATACAAAATGTAATGAATTAGCCTCTGAGTTGAACATTTCAATGTTCCCAAAGATCTGAATTCAGCTAACAGGTCAAACGACAAACTCACTGTTTCGATGGTCCAGCAACGGCAGCTGCCTTCTCCTCAACAATTTTTGCCTTTTTATTCTTGAGTTTCTCCCAAATTTCCAGTGCGTGCTGTTTCTCACCACCCGCTTCATTTGGCAGGAACTGAACCGATTCTAGCTTTTGTAGCATAAAGCAGGTACAAGGAGAAAAATCAGAAGAAATCAAATTAATATTAGGAGCTATCTGCCTCGGGACACCAGGCGAATGCATCTGTTGCATTTTGTTGCCCTGCACCGCAAGCATGCAAATATTACGGAAAGAGAGCTCTGGGGTAGATGAAACACTTATTGTCTGCGAAAGGCAGGAGCGTTCGACGTGGGTCATCCACCTCGGAGCTCCCTTCCCCTCCCTCCCTTAAAACTGCACATTATTCTTCGCTGAAAAATTGGGATTGCATGATGGCACCGTCCGAGGCACATAACACCCTGTACTACAATGTATGCTGTTGATGTGATACGGATAAGATCACCTTCCGCTTCTTTCCAGTTTTAACATTCTCCTTCTCTCCTTTAGCAAGACGTTGAAATTTTCCAGCAGATGCAGTAGCTGTCTTAGCGCGATCAACGGCAAAACGAAGCTAAATTTATTTTTTCCCTGACTTGTCATCATGAGTATTACAGTCTGCTATAACTCATCCATAGCTTGAGCTTACCTGCTCTTTGGATTTCTCTTCCGGTGCAACACCAATACCTATACTAGCGTCAATCGATGGTCCTTTTCTCATTTTCGAACCCATCTGACGAGCGAGATTTTTCAAACGTTGTGTCTCATTTTTCGCTACTCGCTCCTTCTTCTTCTCAACTCGCTCAGCGAAGTAGTCCTTATTCGGGTCTAAAAGAAGTCAGTGAAGGTAAACATAGCCTAAGACTCAGGACTACACTTAGTAATCATTCCTGAAACAATGCATTCCTTTGTGGGAATTATCGGAGGCTACCAACAAGCCGTGCGGACGCAGTTTACTGCAGACCAATTTCGAAAGAGCAGCGGAGGATTGCGTTGCCCGTTTGCGCGACGGTCTTTGAACTACCTCAGTATCTTACTTTGGGTTTCAAATCGTTAGGTCTCGCCGCTGTGTCAATATGTTGAAACAAAATCACAATTATCATTGGAAGACGCTGGCCTTCCTCAGTACATTGAATGATTTTGAGATTGAAAAGCTGTAAGCGTTCCCTCCCTATAACTGGGTAAGCTAACTGGGTATGAGGGGTCAGGGTAGCATCTATACATCAAAATTCTGGTAAAAGTTTGCTGGACCTTCTCGATTTTCGCTTGCAGTTTCTTGGTGTGGGGGTTCCATATTTGTGAACCATATTCAAGAAATGCGCGCGCACCAACAATAGAGCCTTATTATGAGGCTGCAACAAAGTTGAAGGATCAATGGTTTGACTCTTGGGAAAAGATGATGTCTGGAGTATGGCAAGAACAGAGGGTTGTGAATGTTTCCCGAAACGATGGTGTCATGCTGATGAGTAAAAAATCTAAAGTGGAAATTCACTAGTAGAACTTCGTGGCGAGGTCGCCGGACTTACATTTGCAGAGAAATACTAATTGACTTTTGCCGTCTCACTCACTAACGCGTGTTACGGTATTGCATACCGTTGCCTTCGTCCATATGAAGAAGCAACAGGCGTTTTTGTAAGTTCAGCGCAGGGTATCCCCGCGCAAAGCCCGACAGCGCCATCAATTTAATGTTACTATATAGACTGGTGTATCGCTCGTGCATCGCAGTCATGATTTATTCCGCTGTCCAATAAACGCCGAATATATTTTATGTCGTCGCAATAATTAATTTTAAACAACCAATGGATGAGTGTCAAGATAACGAGGTAAGTCGTAAGTGTACGCCAAGAACAACAAAGGTGACAACACTCCTCCTTGAGGAACCCCACTAGTGCAAGAAAAAACTGCGTGAAAAAGGCAAAGTTCACCTACATCTCAACGCCACATATGCCTATCTTCAAATAGGGTACTATTTCGAATTAAAAGATGGGCCATGCGATTCCGTCTTAACTGGCCTTAGCAAGCTTGTGATGAAAGCTAGTCTTATGACTCACATGCTATCTATCGAAGGTGCTTTTGGAGCAATAGTAATACATAGATGACTGTCACGATCCTTTACCTGGCCTCTATTAATTCTTGCAAGGGTTGCATTTCAATAACATCGCAATAGTGCGTGCCATTAGAGTATACGTAGTTATAGGTCCTACCGTCCAATAAATCCATTGCTGTTCTAAGGTGTAATTAGTATTACTGTTTTTCTGTTAGTTACTTGATATAGAATCTTAGTCTCGTTAATATGCTTTCTGTTGTGAGGAGTGCTGTAGAGTGGCATGATGATACTATGGGCGAAACGAAGAAAACGACACCTGAGGGACTAGATGTGCCGAAAATACTTGGGAATAAGCCGTGGATGATAGACTCTTTCCATTCATGCTTTGTCGTTGATTATCTCTCTCAACTGTGTGTAATATTATGTAGAGTTTAGTGTAGGTGATATGATCATGATTGTAGTGTTGACTTAAGATATCATGTTTATTTTTGTGGCGCAGTGTGTCTTTAATTTACGATTGGTTGTGTGTGTTGGAGTATTTGCGGCGCATCAATATTATGTGGAGTAGCGAGTGAGGGAACACTGTTAAATGATCTTAAAGGTCTTATGCTCATCGTCCTCTTTCTATGGATGGATACTACGCAGCTACTTCACTTGAAGTGTGATACACTACGAGCTGCTCGCGACTTCTCGGCATCACATTTGAAGCAGTGGTCCTCGTCTTTCGCGACAGAAAACAGAGGAGAAATATTGTGCGCGAGAGCCTCAGCTTTCTGGAAGTCAGTCAACAAGCGATTTCCGGCCTCATCGTTCATTACAGGGAAATATGAGTGTGGCTTAAGCTTGTACTTGATCAGCCCAAAAACAGCTCTCCTACGGAGATTAGAACTAACCCTCTTTTCCTTACTGGACAAAAATCTCCTTAAATGACGATCGAGCTCACGACATACTTTCTTGTACTGAAGAGCGGATAGTGGGTCTTTATGTGACTCACCATAGAGCCGCGCTTTTTGGGCTAGTAGGTTACTAATTTGTTTAGGATATTTGCTAGCTGGCAGAAGTCTTGAAATCGGACAGGGGTACATAACTTAGCTCAGATGCTCCCGCGTACATCAGATACTTACAACATCTTTTGTACATATGCATCACAGTGGAAAAGTAGGCCATACAAAAACCCGCTGCCAAAAAAACCTAGTTGATTGAGGAGAACGTACCTTCGAGCAGTGCAGTAATCTGCCTTGGCGAATGTTTGGTAAAATGGAAGGTGGAGTGATACATGGATGTGTGGCAGTAATATCAAAGTGCTAGCTGTAGTCTATATCAAGGATACCGCTGCAAGGTGAGCGGTAACATCGAAACGTTCGTGATTATGGGAGCATTAGATAGTATGATATCTAGCGTAGATTCTCCCCGCGTAGGCACATGGACATGTTGACGAAAGCCACAGCATCGGAATAGTTCCAAAAACTTGGAGGAAACAGAGTTTCTGGCTGTACTTGTTTTCCAGTCAACGTCGATATTAAAATCACCTAGAACAACCAGGTGCTTATCAAGAGTACAGCAATCCAAGAGAGAGTCAATAAGATTACTATCATCAAATGAACTGGAACTAGGTGGTCGGTAAACGAAGTACAAGCCTAAACATCACAGTGGAGAAACTGTCAAATCCATCGAGACACAGCAATTCGGAGTTGAGTTGGGCTGGAAGAGTAACGGAGGCAAGCAACAATGAAGTTCTGGCTATACAGCAGACACCCCCACCCCTTCGCCTATTGCGATCAACACGGAAAACATTATAGGGGGCGTATTACCAAGCGAGTTCGGCGCACTCGTGGATGTTTCGATGACAGTGGTGTGTGGGTGACCATGTTTCCGGTATGAAAACTATGTCTGGATTGTACGTATCCAAAAAGAAATGTAAGTGGTGCATCTTATTACTCAAACTTCTCGAATTCAAAAGGAAACATCGAATTCCTTGAGGCGAACCGTGGCGGTTTAAGCGTTTCCCGAGCCCCGTTTTTTAGGAAGCTCGTCTACGCGCTTCAACTCACCACGGTACACCACCCAGACACGGTCTTTTGCCTGCTTGTTGCGAGCCCTACATTCCTGCCTCAACTCGAACTCCTGCTTACGTTCCGCGGCGGTTAGACTCTTTCGTATATAGATATTTGATAACCCCGCGGTACGAAGCCGATAGCTATTTGTAAGGGCAGTGATCCAGTGGCTCCTTGAGGGCAAGACGAGTTTCACCAAACGTGGGTGTGCACCGCCGGGTTTCCCCATGCGGTACACCTCCACGGGGCGACACTCGACCCCCAAGCAGTCCAACACTTCACTGACCTTCTCTTCGACCTCCCTCTGCTTCATAGAAGGAGTTGTATTCGAGCCAGACTCCGGAATGCCATAAATCACAAGACTTCGACCCCGCTTTTCTGATTCAACAGCATCGGCAATTGTTTCTGGTAATTTCGTAACCAACGCATTTATATATCTGCCCATGATCGGGTCCTTCAGCTCTTCGTTTCGTTCCATCATCGCACTTATGATTTCGGAAATAGACATTTTTCCAACTTCACTTTCCGATGGAATACTCGCGGGAATATTAGATACTTTAGCGTTGGTGGATTGACGAGTACGTGATTTGCTCTGCGACATGATCTACTCAGAAATATCGAATAATTGACTTAGCTGACCCCCGGAACACACGGCGATGCAACACTTCCTCTAGGAGACAGCACCAGTGGTTTTGACGGACTATATAAATGGATAGTGGCTGATTGTATCAAGAGACTCTAATAAGAATACCACGCCGTTTAGAGATCCAACAATAGGCACAGACCGAGTAATAATTAGTCGAACGTCGAAATACGGCAGAGCAACTGGTTGGCCGACCGCTCACAGTTATGACTTGTGAGGTATGGTGATTGCAGAAAGGATAGGGTTCATTCACCCTAAAATCTTTCCCTCCTAGACATTGACAGTCTCGTCCACTGTTTACTCCTTCGCACTTTTCAGCGTCAATTGCCTGACTTTATTCGACTACTACCCTAATGACCGTTGTGGAAATTCATGTCTATGTACGCCGCTGAAATTTCTGAAGTTGGCCTGGGTAAGCCACTCTCAGATCTGGAGGCCAATCAAGCTTTGCTGTGATAAATCTGCGGCGAGGAAGGGAGGACGGAAAGAGCGGAGCTTGCCGCGTGTCGCAGCCACCCAGCCCCCTTGGCACCAAAATTTGTAAGTATTCCGCACATTACTGAAAGATAGCGCTAGCCCAGTTAGGTCCGCAGTCCGGTATACTACGCGTTAGGAATCGCACATCTCAGAAACGTCATCAGCATAGAATAAGGGAACAAGACACATCGTCGTGGGCCGTGGTAGAAGCACTCTTCGCCACGTTCCGGAGTCTCGACCGACGGAAAGTGTTGGATAAGTTAGGTAGATGCAGTGGAAGGGTTCGGCTCTCAGCGAAAAAGGAAGTTCAAAAGTGTTGGGTTCGCAAAGTTTTACGCAGCACCAGCATATATGCCGTGGAGGGCAAGGAGCTTCCGGATAGCCACGCTTTTTTCAAGGTTGAAGTTTTCGCGGAGACGGACCTTTCTGCAAAAGGGAAGTTGATCATCCGCCCGAGAGCTCGCTAATCTAGGCTCAGGCGAGAAGCCTCACCCCTCCAGGTACCGCACAACATGAAAAAACTGAGGAGCGCGAAATTTTTTCGGGTATGGTGTGGAACGGCGAGTTTCCCTGCTTATTGAGGTGTCATGAGACACATTCGTTATGCTCTAACAGGTAGCGTATTGATGTGAAACCTTTAGCTAGCACCTGTTATGTTCTCCTCAACTATACCTATTCTCTCGATGCATTTTTTTAGTGAAAAGTTGTTGACTCGTGCAAGAAAAATGCCGCAGTTTTTTGTTTTAATATAAAATCTGGGAGCTGAATAGGAAGAATGTCGAGGAAGCCGTTATGGCCGTCCTTCCGAAATCTTCGTTCATTCTACCAAGAGAGAAGAAGGTCAGTCATTCCGAATGCCTTGATTCTTTTGAAAGAAAATGCCATTTTTTTTAGATACCTGAGAAGAAAGAACCGACGAAATGGGAGAAATATGCGGCAGAAAAGGGTTTGACCAAAAAGAAGAAAAGCAAAAAGGTAACTTTTGTCATCAGATGTCGTTATTTAGATTCATAAGAGTAGAGTAAAGGAGTAGAGAAAACCAGCGCAAGGCTACTGTTTGTCTAGCTTGTACTTTTTTAACAAGTCATTAATTCTCCCATACTGATGGGATCTGAATCCTCGAAGACAGACCCCAGTTGCCTACTGTGTACTATGAATAGTGGTGTTCAGTTACAAATCGCTGTTGCTTTCGATAGAAGCAAAAAAATCATGAAGAATACCAAGGAACTGACAGTCTTTCTGAACGAGCTCTCCGTACCTGCTCGTTTTATGCAGGCAGAAGATGTCCTGCCGCCTCTGGTCTCAGCAATGCTTTTCTTGTGTGATCCCCGTTGCTGATGCATCAAACAGTGTGAAAAAAAACACTGTAAAAACTGAACTCGTGACAGAAAATGACCTTTGATTTTTGGTGGGCGGGCACTATTTGGCAGAACTGCCATTTATGAGGGCCGCAGCGTCCTCTTTTTTTTTACCGTGAAGCCTCGAAAAAGGAAAGTACCCAGAGACTGCGCACCAGACTACTTGAACAAGCAAGAATACTGAACTTGTGGCGGCTTGAGCGCTGGAGCTGTCTTTAATACAACCTGTCAAGTTTCTTGAAGATGTATGTTGCAGGTGTTTGATGAAGCAACGAAAGAATGGAAGCCAACATATGGCTACAGAAGAGGAAATGATAATACCAAGGATTGGCTGATAGAAATTCCTGACAACGCTGGTGAG